TATCATCAGTGCCTCTGTTGTTAACTTCTTGTATTGTACAGCATTCCTGTCAGTTCTGTCCCCTTTGTCACTTCCCAGTCACCCCTCTTCACAGCTCAGAAGAGGCGGAGGGAGTGAGTACAACATTGTATTCTGTCCACAAAGTGTGGTGCTGTTTACTTTCAGGTCATTCAGAGAAGGTAGTCAAAGGTAGGTCCATGTTTCAGGTTATCTGGAACTGGGGATGACTGTGTCCTAAGGGGTATCTGATCACCTGATGTTTGGCCCATGGAGGATTTGCTGTTTCCCTTTCTGCTTATCAGGCTCCAGAGTTTGCCTTGAACAGTTCAGCCATCACTGAACAGTGGAGAATTTGTACATCTGCTCCAGGTCCACGTGTGGATTTTTGCCCCTTGTCCTGGTCAGTGCATCTGATTCATTCAGCCACCCTTTCCTCAGGGCCCAGGGCTACAGGTCTCTCTTCGCTATGTCCTACCTAGGTCATCCTCTCACAGCAGGCCCTATAGCATGGTCTTTATCCCAATATAACACCAAGCCACATTTTGCGACCTTCAACACCTGATTGTAATTTTCTAAATTAAAAACGGCCAAGTATCCTGTGAAAGTCTTCTTGGTCATTGGTGAGGTAAACGCTGTGGCCTTACTTTGCAGCTGAGGGGAGCAAACCTCCAGAGATGCTTCTACTAGACCTGGGTCTCAGTTCTGCATCTTGATACCTGGTTTACTTGGCACCTGTATTGCAGAAATGTAAGCTATCTTAATATAACTCATAAGATCAAAACCATAAGTTCCAATCAATTGAGTAATAGGAGGGATTAAAAGTTCAGAAATTTTGAATATTCGTATGTTATTCATTTTTTCTATTTGTAATAGAATTAACTGCACATTCAGTGCTCACTTTGGTAGACAATATACAAAAATTGAAATGATACAGAGAAGATTAACATGGCCCCAGTACAAAGATGACATTCAAGTTAATGCAGAGGTCTATGAATTTTGTTTAAAGATCATAAAGAATTATTATCAATGTTATTGAATTATACTGGTAAAATTATTGGTTGAATTGGCAAATGTTTATAAAATGCTTATAAAATAGAACATTAACACCTCAATGTTAAAGTCAAATATAATACTTAAGATCTGATTTGTTTATAAATTGGAATATAATTTTTATCCCATATTGTACAAAATAACTATTTATGAGTTTACTTTTTATACTTCCAGGTATATTTTGTAATATATAAGCATAAGTCAAAAAGCATAGCAACACAAACATAGAAATATTTATTAACCAAGAATATTAAACTTTGAGACTATTATTTTTGGATATTTCCTACTTGCAGATCTATACCGATTTTTCTCTCCCTTTCTTATGGAATTTGATATGCTTTGATTTACATCCTGTAAAAAGATCAGCTTTGGTATCTTTACGTAACTCCAATTATGTTCCTTGCAGAGGTTGTCTGAGTATGGCAAACAAACAAACAAAGGAGTCTGAAGGGGCGAGATCAGGGCTCCTGTAAATTGAATGATGTGGTGAAGTGAAACATCTTAATATGACTCATCTACCCAGGCCTTTAAGTTTCACTGAATGATTGCATGGGACTATGCAAATGCTGTGTAGGATGCTAATAGAGGGGATTGGTTAGTTTTACTTAACACCACCCCTACTCCCACCACCTCTACCCCCAGCTATCAGGATAAGTCAACTTTGACTCAGCAGCAGAAAGAGAAGCACAGGACCAGCTGAAGCGTGCATTCCTGACCTCTGTCTGAAGTGCTGGAGACACTGGAGATGGTGGCACGGAGACTCGAAGGAGCGGTGCCCAAACTATGGGATATCTTCTCCTAATCTGTCCTCTGAGACTGTGAAACTATGAGATAGAAGCCAAGGGACATATGACAAGAGGGTGAAGACAAGAGAGAGATTTGGTTGCTGACTGAGGAGGGTGCTGCTGTGGACCAATGACTTCACTGCCCATGATCCTGACTGTGGTAACCTCTTAACTTCCCTAGTACATCCCCTTAATTGTGAGACTTGTCTGTGTGTTACGCATGGCAATTGTAACAAATTATTGAACCCAGCATAGATGGTGGGGTCGGAGTAGTTAAAGCAGGAGAAAGGCATGTCTGATCTCTGCTTCTTGGAGGCAGAGGAGGTCAAAATTAGTCCCCCAGGCCATTTACTGTGGATGGGTAAGTTTCACAACCCAATCCTCAGAGGGAAGCCCTGATACCCTTGAAGAATGAGTACACGCACTGTTATGACGGAGCAGAAAGCAAACCTCAGTGCAATGCTTCTGCTCGTTTTATCACCAACACAGGTTTCAGTTATTTCTAAGACTTCTTTGATTGTCACATATTATTGGGGAGAATCTACACAGCTTACCCTATGTGAAGAAGAATATGGCAGCAGAATTGGCGGAAGTTTTCTTAAGAACCAGCAATACACAGACAACCCATATTGGCTTTCGGTAAAACAAGGAGGATTTGAAGCTTTGTGATGAAAATCAAAGACCATAACCTTCAGTACGGATCTCAACTCAAAGTAAAGAAAACCACACGTGAGTGGTGATACTGGGAGGGTAGAGGGAGAATGGGTGGGAAAGAGGGAGCCGATTACAAGGAACTATATGTGACCTCCTCCCTGGGGGATGGACAACAGAACAGTGGGTGAAGGGAGATGTCGGACAGGGCAAGATATGACAAAATAATAATTTGTTAATTATTGGGGGCTCGGGAGGGAGGGGGAAAGGGGGAGGGAGGGGGAAAAAAGTGAGGACCTGATGCCAGGGGCTTAAGTGGAGAGCAAATGTTTTGAGAATGACAAGGGCAATGAATGTACACATGTGCTTTGCACAGTTGATGTATGTATGGATTGTGATGGGAGTCGTGTGAGCTCCTAATAAAACGATTAAAAAAAGAAAAAGAAAACCACAATCCCTCCCTACAATTGAACCTATAGGTAGCATCATGATGAATAAAGAAATTAATGAAATTGTAAAGGATTTGATTTTCACACTCAGTGAGCATAAAAGCAGCAGTCAAGATGTCTTTAAAATATTGAAGACCAAGGAAGTGAATTTGAGAACTAAAGTATACCTGCCCCAAGCAGTGGTGCGTTCATTCATCCCATATCCATGTAAACATAGGCCAGTGAACGAGGAAGAGTGCAGAAGAACTGACATATTTGAATTATGGGGTTGGTGGGGATTATTGAAACTACCACTGACTGACAAAAGAAACAAATGGTTTTGGAAAAATTGCAAAAATAATCCTCCCAAGAAGTGAGGATGTGAAGACTTGTGTCATATACTTTGACCAGGATGTGAGGACAGAATAGCTCCCGCAGAGGGACGCAGTCCTGCGTGGAGTCCGCAAAAAAGAGGAGCACTTCTGACAAGAGAGATGGACACAAGATCCCTTAGGCTTTGATTGAATCTTTGTTTGTTAGCTTTTAAGGACTCCAAACTCTAAGATAAGTGATTACTGAGGTAATACCTCTGCAGACATATTTAAGTTCATTAAAAAACTAAACTCATGTATGCCTCAATTAGAATCTTACTACTCCTTTTTTTTCTTACTTACCCCTGTATGTGCACCCACATATCAAGCATCTTCTGAGTGTTCTACTTTCCTGAAGTTTTGAGATTTGTACAGCTTAATAGCTATTCTTTCACACACAAACCATTCTTGGTAAATCATGTTCAAGAAATAGATTCAATGAATGCTTGGTTAAAGCACGCTGGCTTTCGTGAAGGCGGTGAAATCTGGTAAGCCACTTCCTATTCTTCCCCAAAGAATAATTTTAATATCCTCTATTCTAGGTTGCAGTCCCTGCTTGTGACAAGGGTATGTTGCATCTTGGCTGGAAACAGCAATACACAAAATCAGAGCAGGTACAGAAAAGTCTTTACCTCATGTCATTCTGTGGCTTTCATAAGGTGGGTGAGAGAGGAAGCTGCTATATTGTGTAGGTCGTTAGAAGTTAGGCTGAGACCCACGTAGTTGGACCTTCGAAACCACCAGCAGTTCCTTGGGGTAAAGACTGGGCTGTTTACTCCCATAAACAGTTTCAGTCTCAGAAACCCGAAGGGGATCACTATGAGTCAACATTGACTCAATGATGGTGAGTTTGGTTTTTATTAAAATATTTTTTTATTCTGAGAAATATCATTGTGACTCTCCCTGTAGTAAAAAAGGTATTCTACTTGTTTTATTCATTCATTTAAACTGAAATATCCTGTTAAAATGTCATTGCTAAGCACTGGCTTATTTTATCGGAGCACCTCAAAATTTCATTAAAAATGTAGAACTGACATAATGTCACATACATATAATAATGTATACTCTCAATCATAGAAACATATAAAAATACTGTTATATGTCAATATAAGGGGGGTAAAAATTGTGAACAAAAAAGTCATTTTTTCATTCAATTTTCAAATGACTTTTTGAAGTCCGACATTCATATGTGTGTGTGTATGTGTGTGCATAGCTATTTATAGCACCTAGTAAGCAATGAAGTCATGAGCAATCTGATACCCATGATTAGCTATTGCTTCTGTTGTTATTGTTAGATGCCACAGAGTCAGTTACCACACACAGCAAACCCATGCACAGCAAAACAACATTACCTGGTCGTCCACCATCCTCACACCCTACGCTGGACCCCATGGTGGCTGCCACTCTGTCCATTCATCTCATTACGGGCCTGCCTCTGTCTTTGCTGCCCCTCCACTTTCCCGGGCATGATTTCTTTCTCCAGGGCCTGGTCTCTCCTGACAGCATGACCACAGTCTGAGAGGTAAAGCATCACCACCCTTACCTCTACGAAGCATTCTGGATAGACTTCTTTCAGTCCAAATATGTTTGTTTTTCAATCAACTTAACCAGCACCATCTTTATAACTCATAGTCACCTCAATTTTTAAATGATGAAGATAAATTAGTAATGTATTAAATAAAATGTTTTATAATAAGTATTTCCAGAAAATGAAAGCTTATCGTGTGGATATATCAGTGCTTGAATCTTATTGTAGTAATCTTTAACCATAGTTAAATGAACACTGTTGCCCTATTTTTTTCCTGTTTCAGAACAATATTGAACACTACTGAAAAAAATAAGTCCTTCAACTTTACATTGATTTTAATGGAATCTGTGATCTGACTCTGGTTAATATTACTGGTTTCATTACTTAAATTTATTTTCACCACTCCAAGTAACAGACTGATTTTGTGCATGCAACCATGGTCTCACTACTTCACAGTAAAGTTATACTTTAAAAACAAGTATGAATTTTTGGACAGGATATTTGCACGAATATTTCAACATGTGTAAAGTGGCTTCCACTGGTCTCACACTATCTAGAAAATGAAGTACTAAAATATTCATCATTATTATGGTTGAGATTCATTTCAATTTGGGCTCTACCTTAACATTTAAAAGTCATAAAATCAATTATTTTACTAAGGTTTGCCACATTAAAAAACTTACTTCATAAATAACTCTACAAGTCCAGTCTGCATGGTCAGCATTAAATCACTTTCCAGTGTGACTGGCTTTCGCTGTCAGAATGATTGAAAAACAGGCGAAAGACGAAATAGCACTGGCAGAAAACAAAAACACTCGGTATTAGAAGACAGTGCACTTTTCATTAACAAATCTATAAGGCAAGTTGAAATACATAAATTAGTAACAGAGATGCTCACTAGGGCTTTCTCGTCCTCATGATTTGGATAGTCTTGCGGTGCTGCTCGCTCAAGGCATTTCTGGGAATCTTCCATTTACTTCTCCCCTCACTCCCGTCAGGTGTGCTCAGGTGAGAGTGCTTACGAAAGCTCATGTGCTTGATGCGCGGGCAATCATGTTTAAGATTCAGCAGGAAATAGAAATCATCCCATTATTCCTATTGAAAAACAGCATGGAAACGTTGATCGATTGAGAACGATTATTTGTATCACGTGGCATCACTGAGCAATGCGGGGGTCTTTACTC